AATTGGGGCCCTTAGAAATCATAAAGTCTTGAGAGAGACCATTAAGGTACCGGTTTATCCGGTGGGCCCATTGACCAGACAGGCTCAACCTTCAGATTCAAGGAGTGGTGTATTGGACTGGCTAGACATGCAAAGTAGGGGATCAGTTCTTTATGTTTCGTTTGGGAGTGGTGGGACCTTGTCAAGCCAGCAAATGACTGAGATGGCTTGGGGATTGGAGCTGAGCCGTCAGAGATTTGTTTGGGTGGTACGCCCACCAATGGAGAACGGTGCGCTTGATTATCTTAACGCAACGAATGGCTGTGATGGGTCCTTAGATTTCCTGCCCAACGGGTTTTTAGCCCGAACTAAGGACGTGGGCTTGGTGATCCCGATGTGGGCCCAACAAGCCGAGATCTTAGCCCACACATCAGTGGGAGGATTTTTATCACATTGTGGATGGAATTCAACTTTAGAAAGCATTGTCAATGGAGTGCCATTGATTGCATGGCCACTGTTTGCAGAGCAGAGTATGAATGCTGCTTTTCTGACGGAAGAGGTCGGGGTGGCGTACAGGCCAAAAGTATCGCCGTCCAAGGGAGTGGTGATGAGGGAGGAGATAGAGAAGATGGTGAGGTTGATTATGGAGGACAATGGAATGAACTCTAAAAGAGCTAAAGCCAAGGAACTTGAAAAAAGTGCAGTGCAGGCTTTGAGCAAAGGGGGGTCCTCCTACAATTCACTATCTCAAGTGGCCAAGAATTGCCAAATGAAATTAAATGAGCATGTAATTTGCTGTGACTGAAAGCAATGGCTTAGTTTTTCAGTTGGTATATGTATGATGTATATTGTTTGTTTTGCTACCTTGAATAAATTCAGTGTGTTTGAAGCTATTTGGGAAAGAAAAATTAAAATAATAAAAAAAGAGCATTTTTGTTTACTATAATCAATACGGGAATGGAGTGAAAGGAAGGAAATTGAGCATTTTTATTCCTTGTAACCTGTAGGGGATCCAATATTCACAGAGAAATTTAATCCCTGTTCCCAAACAACACTTGAGGTTCACAAGAGAGGAGATTGTGAGAGAACTTAAACAAACAAATCAAATGGAATACATAGTGTCGGAATAGAAGTACAAAAAGAACACATCCCACATACACATTATTATTGATGTAATCAGGCAGAAGAATATCAAACCAGAGTTCTATCCGGGATGCAGTTGAAGGGCAAGGAGAATTGGGCTGGGGAGCTGCGGCAAAAAGGGGGCGTTGCTCTGAATTTGAGTTCGAGAGTGGCACGGTGAAGGCATGGGAGTGGGAGGGTGAGAGAATGCATGAGATTGGGGAGGATGATTTGGAGCTCACACTTGGGAATGGAAAGGCCCGCGGTTAAGCTTCTTTTGTAAAGATTGTGTGATATATATTATTGAGGATTTTGTAGACAATGTGAAGAAACACAAACTCAAACTCAAGTTAGTTGATGGTTATTAATAGGATCTATTTTACGCCATGGAATTCCTTTACCTTTCAGCTTCCCTCCTTGTGCTTACTGGCAATTGGCACAATAATTTTTTTTCCTTTCTGTGGCCCATTATAGACCTGAACTTTGTGCCGGGAGGTCATTGATGAGTAATGATGTGTAGTCCGACAGTTGAAGTTGACAACTCTGATTGTTTTTATGTGGGCGGGGCTGACGTCAGCCCCGCCATTAATGATCGACATAATGATACCTTCATGACGTCGGCTCTCACTCACATCAAACGATAGTCAGGTTAGATACCATTTTTGTTTTATTGATTGTTATAGGTTCAACAATTTTGTGACAGTTTTTTTTGTTGGTAGCAATGGAATTGTTTTGATAATCAAAGTTGATATAACTAGATTCATGAAATTTTAAAACACCATGCTCCACCAGAGTGGTCTCATCAATTGAATGGTACAAAGTAAAAATATTCAAGAAAAAGTGATATGGACAATAAGAAAAGAACAGGTATGAAAGGGTTGGCAAAAGTGAAGGAAAATTGAGATAGATGTGAAAGGGACTCCCTCTCTCATGCTAGGGCATTTCTTGCTGTTTGAAGGTTATCTATATGTCACATCCGGTTTTCTACAATTTGTTGCCTTTTGGTCGAACTTAATTTTTTGTTTTTTTTTTTTTGCGATATGTGGGGACGGAAGGGAGAAATTGTGCGAATTTCATTACAATAAGGCGGAGATGGAGGTGGAGGTGGAGGTGAAATGCTTAAATGTGTAAGTGTCATCTTCAAATGGTATGAGATATTTTAAAATAAAATTTAAGAATAAAATTTTGTGAGTTCTGACCTAAACGAAACAATATTATCATATTATCGGATAAAAAAGTTGTGTGAGTTCTAACCTAAACTGAACAATATCATATTACCTTTGTAAATACGACTAGAAAATAAAGAGGTGTTGGGAAAAACCAAATGACTTGTATCTGGTGTTTGGATGCATGAATCATTGAAGCCATTTGATTGGACAGTTAACATGCATGGTGTTGAATTATTTGGTTTATCATAGGAAACTCCTCTCTCTTTTTCATGTTTATTTGATTGCAATCAACATCAGCTCAACAACATGATTTATCAAAGCTTTTGAAGTATTTCACTCACTTTCATATGAATTAGTAGTTGGTATAATTATCAAAACTAATGATTTATATGACTCCCAGAAACAAAAACAATGCGAGGAATTTAAAATAAAAATTAAAAAATTCATAAGGCATTGAAAAATTATAAAAACATTGTAGTTTTTGTTCTAGATTTTATACAAATCAAATTCTTATATTTGAGTACCATGAAACTAGTGAAAAACGAAGAATTTTTTTTTTTTGATACAACCATATATGGAAATTAGAAATATAAGGAAATGGGTTATGAAAAACTAAAAAGATAAGGAAAGGAAAAGGGATGTATTTTATGGAAACAAACAAGAATAGTAATGATAACTATTTAAGTTGAAACTTTATAATAATCACGTCATATTTTTATCTATGTCGGCTTTAAGTCGGGTATTCAAGTCTTCAATAATATCATTTTCCTTAATCTTTATAAGTAAACATAAAGAAAACAGAGTTCAAAGAAATAATTGATCCTGTTAGCATAAAAATCACTGAATGAATGTTAAAACTTCATGAACCATTAAATTCCTTTGATAATAATGGTGATGGGAATGGTAATTTGTTTCTTTTGTTTTTCTTTTTTGTTTTAAGTTTTGAGTTTAAGTTTGGAAATTTATTTTTTCTGATGTGAAGAACATGGATTTTGTAAAAATAAAAAAGAGATGTATTATATACAAATAAAACTATGACATTATACATATTAAAATATCTACAAATAATTATTCTAAATTTAAAGAAAAATTTACAATGTTGAGTAAATATTCCGTAATTGAATTCATAATTTTAATTGAATAAATTTTCTTAATTTTAACAATTGTGATTGATTTTAATATTGAACATCATCCTAATAATTTCAATTAAATAAAATTTATTTTGTCTAAAACAAATTGTAAAAAATGTAATTAAGGTAAGAAAAGAAAAAAGTTTATAGTGAAAAAGGTAATAATGGTATTATAAAATGAGAGATGGTGCATTAATTAGTTAAGGGATCTTCTTGTCATTTTCTAAAAAATAAATAAAATGGAGTGCAATTATAAAAAGTTGAGTTATCGCCTCCCTATAATATAATATAATTAGTATATCAGAGTACAATCAAAACATAAAAAAATTATTGCATAATTGATGTAAATAAAAAGTTATATCGAAAATTTTATTTAAAAAATTATTTTATTTTTTACAAATTTCAAAAAAACCATCTCAATTAAATCTCTTCCAAGAATAATTACTTTTAGGTCAAATCTTTAATTAAAAACTTGATTAATAATGGAGAAAGATTTATCTACACTGATAATACTATTTAATTGGTGTCGTCAACCAATTACTATATGTTAATAATACCACGTCATTAGAGACTAGAGAGAAAGAAGTACCTAGTCATGTAACATGTTAATTGGGTAGTCTCTGTCAAGTCTTCTGCAAAGACTTGGACCTAAATATTCTAGATGGACTCGTTTTTTTCATTGTTTGAAAAGAAGCTGAAGATATACAACATGCTACAACAAAGAATTGTTAGTTGACCAAGACGTGGAATGAGCAAAGTGCATGTTAACTTTCTTCGTCTTGTTCTTTCTTTTGGTCTTTTTTAAATGTGAAATAGGGACTTTCTTGGGCGTCAAATTTGAAAGGAATTTTTACAACCGAATATGAATGGAATACTTATGGACAAATTTTATTCACCCTCTAAATTATCTCCAAATGTATTGTAAACATAAAATTTAATCTTTCATATAATAATGATTTTTAAAGGTTTGGAGTCGGTTATAATAAGATCTAAAATTTATCTATTAAGTTAGTGAAATAATGTTATATATTGGTGTTTCTAATGCCTGAATCAGGTTTTTAGCTACTTCAACAAAGATTCTTACATAATAATGGGTAAAGTATAAAAAATTAGACAAGGGAAATTTATTGAATAATTCTATAAATTAAGGGGGAGTTATTTGATAAAAAAATTAAACGAGAAGATTTATTGAGAAATGCTACAAGTTGAAGGGAATTTTTTATATTTTTACCTTACAATAATCAATAAGATATTTGCATTATTTTTAATTATAAAATCAAGAAAGTATAGCCAATAAACCAAGTGAAAGATTCTAGAGCCATGCATGACCGGTATAATTACTTTATTATTATAATTATTGTCGACGATTGTGGTATCAAGTCTCTTGGTGCTCACAACTGATGCATACAATTCTCTCCCATGTGCATCTAACATTTTCCTCTTGAAAAATTTCTTGAGGTGCCCTTTATTCCAACTCCCAACCTCCCTTGGGTCGCATGGACCTTAGCAAGTCTCCCAATTAATGTCACTTTAGTCCATGCTGCCTTATATATATTCCAAAACCAGTCATTGCTTGCATCAACACCCTTGTAATCTTGTATACATCTCTCTCCATTTTCATTGTTTCCATATCCCTCTCCCTCATATATATATATATATATATATATATATATATATATATATATATATATATATATATATATCTGAAGTTCCATTCTTCAGCCATGGCAACCACAAAGCCTCATGCAGCCCTACTCGCCAGCCCCGGCATGGGCCACCTCATCCCCGTCATTGAGCTCGCCAACCGCCTCTTCACCCACCACAACTTCGATGTCACCGTCTTCACCATCTCAACCGGGACATCACCAGCAACACAATCCCAGCACCTCACTTCCAATCTCTTCAATGTCGTTACGCTCCCACCCGTCGATATCTCAGGCTCAGTGGACCCCAACGCTGACATTTTCATCCAACTCCTAGCCCTGATGCGCCAATCAATACCCAACATCCGGTCCGCAATCAACTCCATGAAGTCCCGTCCCGCCGTCCTCGTCGTCGACTTCTTCAGCACGGCATCTCTGGCCATCGCCGATGAGTTCGGGATGCTGAAGTACGTCTACATGCCCACCGCAGCATTGTTTGTGGCCTTGACACTGTACGCTCCTACCATGAACAAAAATTTTGAAAGTGAGTTTGGTAGTGAAAATGAACTGTTGACAATTCCGGGTTGTCGGCCGGTCCGATTCGATGACCTTGTCAATGCGGTTCAAGACCGGACCAATCAGATTTTTGATGATTATGCCCGTGTTGGGGTTGAGATGTCGACGGCTGATGGAGTTTTAGTGAACACGTGGCAGGATCTGGATGCCACTACAATTGGGGCCCTCAGAAATCATAAAGTCTTAAGAGAAAACATTAAGGTACCGGTTTACCCAGTGGGCCCATTGACCAGACGGGTTAAATCTTCTGATTCGAAGAGTGGTGTATTGGGCTGGCTAGACATGCAAAGCAGGGGATCTGTTCTTTATGTCTCGTTTGGTAGTGGTGGGACCTTGTCAAGCCAGCAAATGACTGAGCTGGCTTGGGGGTTGGAGCTGAGCCACCAGAGATTTGTTTGGGTGGTACGCCCACCCATGGAGCACGGTGTGCTTGATTATCTTAACGCAATAACGAACGGCTATGATGGGTCCTTAGATTTTCTGCCCAATGGATTTTTAGCCCGAACTAAGGATGTGGGCTTGGTGGTCCCGATGTGGGCCCAACAGGCCGAGATCTTAGCCCATACATCGGTGGGAGGATTTGTATCACATTGTGGGTGGAATTCAACTCTAGAGAGCATTGTGAATGGAGTTCCACTGATTGCATGGCCACTGTTCGCAGACCAGAGTATGAATGCTGCTTTTCTGACAGAAGAGGTCGGGGTGGCGTACCGGCCAAAAGTATCGCCATCCAAGGGAGTGGTGATGAGGGAGGAGATAGAGAAGATGGTGAGGTTGATTATGGAGGACAATGGAATGAACTCTAAAAGAGCTAAAGCCAAGGAACTTGAAAAAAGTGCAGTGCAAGCTTTGAGCAAAGGGGGGTCCTCCTACAATTCACTATCTCAAGTGGCCAACAATTGCCAAATGAAATTAAATGAAATGAACATGTAAATTGCCGTGACTGAAAGCAAGGGCTTAGTTTTTCAGTTAGTATATGTATGACATATATTTTACGTTTTGCTACCTTGAATAAATTCAGTGTGTTTGAAGCTATTTGGAATTAAAAAGAAGAGCATTTTTGTTTATTATAATCCATATGGGAGTGGAGTGAAAGGAAGGAAATTGAGCATTTTTATTCCTTGTAACCTGCAGAGGATCTCAGGATCCAACATTCACAGAGAAATTTAATCCCTGTTCCCAAACAACACTTGAGATTCACAAGAGAAGAGATTGTGAGAGAACTTAAACAAACAAATCAAATGGAATATATGGTATAGGAATAAAAGTACAGAAAGAACACATCCCACACACACATTATTATTGATGTAATCAGGCAGAAGAATATCAAACCATGTACAGTTTTTTAAACAAAGGAGTACAAAAAATTAAGATAAAGAAACAAGAAAAAAGAAAAAGAAAAAACTGACATCAAGGTGCACGATCTTCGTTGCCCAACGACAATAGATGAAATACCAAAACCGATTACTAACAAAAACATTTAAATTGATAAGACACAAAAGAATCATGAATGGTAGATTTCAACAGGCTTGATAAAGCCTAAATCAGGAATAGCATCAAGCGTGAGATAGCCTCTTGACAACTGCAGCCATATATTTTCCCTGGTGCTCTGCAAGTGCGAGCTCGGTTTCACTTGGTTCTCTTGTGCCGTCACCAGCAAAGACTCCAGCACCGTAAGGTGAACCCCCTCGAATGGAGTCCATTTTGAACATACCAGCTCCAAAGGTGTAACCAATGGGAACAAAGAGCATTCCGTGATGAGCTAACTGGGTGATTGCTGTCCAACTGCAACACAAGAACAAGAGAATGGTGGGATGAAGATTATTCAGTTTTCCCACGAAAACAATTGATGTCATCACCACTTTAGTATGTAATAGTCTCAAGCCATCCTCCACTTTTAACTATATTAAAAACCAGCTTAAATCAGTGCAGATATATAATTTAAACTAATTTTGTAACCATAGGCTGACCTATATAGAGACCAAGGAGCCAAAGCGCCCCCAAAATTTTGGAAATCCATAATAAATGGGCCCCTATAAATAGTTGAGATCTAAACTAAGACTTCTACCATAAAGAAAAATATATCTATTTTATATATTTTCTTTAATTTTATTTTCATACATCTGACCCTATTTGTAAAACAAACAAGAAAGTGAGCCTGCAAAAATATTGAAACATCCAAAATTGAGTAAACTAGTGTCATAATCAGATGCCATCACAGCCCATTCCCCATCATGAACTTTAATAAAGAATGACGCACAAGTGCAAATCCCAGTTTATAGTGTAGTGCTCTACCTTGATTAAAATGGGATATTCTATCATGAGTACTCCATCTTTTTGCTACGGTTACTAAAAAGTTCCATCATTTTACATAAAAAGGTAATCAGAGATGGAAATGACCCAAACTAGCTGGTAGCCAACATGTCACGAATCTTAAATACCAGCAAGCTTACTAAGCAAAGAGGTTGTGCACTTGTAGTGCATGTGTTTAAGCTAAACTTTAGGAGAAGTTATCAAATATCTGCACGAAACTTCAGGGGAAGGTTACACATTAAAATGTCAGACTTTTAAAATGCATCTAAATTTTCTAAAGTATTTTCCCCTCTTTTCCTTACCACTTTTGGCATCAATTACAAATCTGAATTAGTATTATAATGAAAATTAAAAATTATAGTTTAGTCAAGCATCAAAACAGTAGAATTTCAAATCACTTAAAATTAAAAGTGTATCAGTATTTCCAAAGCTACCTTAGTGTTCAAAACCTAGAGTACTCGCTAATTTAAAAATTACAGTGGAAAAATTCACCCATATGGGCCCTATTGTAGGTCAATTTTTAAGGGTTTTTGATGTTCATAATAGTATACTTAAATAAAAGGGACATTTCTTTTATGTTAAAGATACAATAATAGTAAAATGCAGTTTTAGTCCCCGTTTGCATCTCTTCAGACAACAACTTGAAAGTATAAAGCAAATGTTGGTAATAACTTTAACCAGCTGAATTAAGACTACCACCAATAAAGCCAGATAAAGCAGAGCATGCCAACAAGATAAAGGGAAAATAAGGAATTTCATGTACAGCATGTTGTACCTAGTATAATGAAGTTTAAAATGAATTATGTCATTACAAGTAAATATGTCATCGATCACCTTTATTTGTATTTTGTTAGGTTTATAAAGTCGAGATGCTATGGTAATTTCATTCAGTATCTGCTGGAAATGTATACAATGATATACGAGTCTAGTTATAAATCAAATAATATTGCCAGGCTTTCTACGTGGCCTTTAATATGTCGAGAATACTCTTAGTGACGAGAATATTTGATAAACTTTATTTGTATTTTGTTAGGTTTATAAAGTCCAGATGCTATGGTAATTTCTTTCAGTATCTGCTGGACATGTATACAATGATATACAAGTCTTGTTATAAATCAAATAATATTGCGCTTTCTATGTGGTCTTTAATATGTCGAGAATATTTGATTACCTAGTTTGGAGTCAGAGTCATAGTATTAAGAAAAATCCGACAACTCATAAATATCTACGTAAACTTCCTATCCATTAGTTGAGTTTTAAGAATTGAGAGAAGCTCTTGAAGTTTTGTCTGATGTGTGAAACAACCTCCTTTTAGTGGGTGATTTTTTAAGATTTCAAGGTGAGATATCTATGTTCTTTTTCTTTTCTTTAGTCTTCTACGCTTGTATTAACCCAAAAGTAACCTTAATAATCCTTCTTTTCAACTTTAGTATCTTACTTTCATAAAACGCAAAATTAACCCAGTCTTTGTTTTCTTGATACTATAAATTATCCGCATCTCCAAAACCCAGACATGTTTATCTCTTTAACATAAAAAAATCCTAAACGCTCACTCTCTGGAATTCCGAATACAACACTCTGCAATCCCAGCAACCAATCAAGTTCTAAAAAAGCTTATTTCAGCCATTTTCTGTCCCTGACACCCAGCACCTCTTTTCCATCAATCAAAACCCCAAGTTACAAATACTAAAACCTTAAAATACAATAAACCAATCTTAGGTAAACCCTTTCAAACCTTTTCAAAGTTCCATAGTGCTGTTGAAAATTGATGTAGACTTTGAGAATTAACATTGATTAACAGAAAGCATTTTACTTGTTGGGAATCAGGTACAGGTTCCAAATCATCATCATTATAAACAAAACGAGTTTGTACATGCACATTGATGTAGATACCTCGTTACCTCCTATATATTTATATATACATATACTTATCAAATATATATATATATATATGCACATATACATACATTCTGTCTATACACATGTTACATGTAAAATAGACATATATGTACCTATCTAGTAAGCACGGACATGCCAAAATGGGCGAAGAATCCGTGTTCGACATGTGTCGGACACACCCCAACACGTGTCGGACACACCAAAAAATGTGTTTGGAATTTTTTAAATTTTTTTAATTTTCGGACACGGCACGGACACTCCGTGAACACGCGTGTCTGGAATTTTTTTTTTTTAAAATTTTGGACACGGCATGAACACTCCGTGGACATGCATGTCTGGCATTTTTTTTTTTTGAATGTTGATATGTTCTGTTTTTGTTTTGTACTACCCTTTTGGTATTGTAAATGGTAAAACTCCTAGGTCAAATGATGGATGGGAATAGATGATAGTACACTGACTTGTTTTTGTATCTTTTCTGGGGACTAGCCTTTAGGTTTTTGTGAATGTTAAGTGCTAACAGTAAAGTCCTAAATGTTAATAGTCCTTTTTGTCTATGCTTTTGTATTTGGAGTAAAATTGCAATGATTATTAAATGATACTAGTTATTATTCTAATGCCTTGTTTTTTATTTGGTTTTATAACTCTGCAACATTGTTCTTTTATACTTTATTAGTTATGAGTTATGATTTGTGTTTTTTTTTCATTGTGAGGTTGATGAAAAATAGTAACACTTAGTAATTTTTAAAGTACTACATCATATATATATATATACTATTCGCCGTGTCCCCGCCGTGTCCGTGTCCTAATTTTTTTGGATTAGCCGTGTCGCCACGTCCGTGTCGTGTCATATCCGTGTCCGTACTTCTTAGGGACCTATATATAAACATATAAGCTACATTATATATTTTTAATTTCTTCAATGCCAAATGTTCTCAACCATTCAATTCATTATGATCAGTTGAGACTCTTTTCAGGCAATTGAATTCTAAATCACATTACTTAAGCTGATCAGGTTATCATTTTTTTTTTGTTTTTTCACCAATGCAGGTTATCATTCTGAATTAGGTGGACATTGAAACTCCTGTAATTTTAAATTTCATGATTAGTTTAATGAGTTGATGCTTTTTATTCTTATACTTCTAGTTAACTTGCTCTCTCTCTCTTTCCCTGGTTGACTTGTTTCTTACAGATATAGTGTCAGAAATCATTTCTTTTAAGGTTCTCTTCAGAATCTTCATTATGCATGACAACATCAATATAAATTTTATAATTAGAAAAAATAAGAAGTAATTCAATGTATGCCATGTTAGTACAACATTACACAAAACGACCACCTGAGAGCCCACACTGCAAGCAATGTTACTGCCTAAGTCACCTGGCCATTTTAACAACCATGTGTGCTCCTAACGAGAGAGATTTTTTTTGGGTTTTTTTTTTGGGGGGGGGGGGGGGGGGGGGGTTGGTTCACTTGACTCACTCCGCCTCCTCTATCTGAAGCCCAAAATTTTCTTTTAACTGTCATGAGGTGGACTATGAAATAACTTTTTTATTTAGAAAGCAGACAAAGCACTATCTTCTGTCTTAAGAACTCAATCAAGCTTTTGAATCCTGCGTCAGGTGGATCATCAATGAATTTCAAGCTAGCTTCGCTAAATCCCCTATTATTAATCATATTGATCATTTCTTATCAGAACATAGGTGGACCAATAAATCTACAAATAACAAAAAGGGACACTTTGCAAAATAACAAAAAGGGACACTTTGTTTTTTTAAGCGAAATTAATTTGCTAAAAGAATCCTAGTATGGATACATGTTCCACTTGGGACTTGAACCCTGCACATCACCTTTGGGATGGTAGATGATACAATTTAAGTAACATGTAGTAATGAAGAAAATTAAAATTATTGCATTAGAGAAAGCATATTTGGGGAAAAGAATCTTATAAAAACCTCCAAATACATATCTAACAAAGCTGACTGTTCTCATTGCAATGTAAGAAACTTTAATTCATTGATCAAGACAACTGCAAAAGACAACAGCTGCTTGTGACCTTCACTATATAATCACCATTTCTACTAAGGTATTGAAAAAAACCATATAAACAGAAAAAGGAGCGAAAGCGAGGAGGAAACAAATGTATACATGACTGAACCATGTCAATTACTCTCCCTCATTTATTTCAATTTTCTATCCTAGTTTTTAGTAAAGATGAATGTCCTTAATTACAGCGAAAAGGAAATTTTAAAAATATATATAACTTCTACTTGCCATAAATGCAGATGTATTCCCAATGAGATTAATGAATGAAAGACAATCACATAGCCTTTGAGAAGAAGAGATACACTCTTTTTTTTCAAATTTTTGGATTCGCATGTGCCAGGAGTGTTCCAAACTATTTCAAGTCAAAACCTAAGAGACATGGATATGAATACAAGACATGACATAACACGACTGATCAATAAATCTTGAAAGAGTAGGACACTGTCACATTGGTGATACAACAAGATATGGTCTTATATAAAAATAATATTATACAGACCAAAAATTAAATTCAATATTTTGTGACTAGATG